CAGACATGACGCTGAATCTGCTGCGACTGCAAACCTTCTTTCTTTCATTTTCTTTTTATTTATTCGTTTTTTTGGGGGGCGGGCGGTGAATCAGGACATCTTTTATTGTAGCCCAGGTGCTTCCGGACGCATCGCTGCTCCCCGCAGGAGCCGCCTTAAAATTTAAGGAGGAAAAAGTAGAGATAATTCCAAAAAAATATAAGGAGTAGAAGTAAAAAGTTACAAAAAAATAAATAATGAGTCCAGGAAAGTATAGACAGCCAAAATTTCTAATTAACTAAGCTAACAAAGTAATTGTACTTTTTTACTTGACACCTCTGATAATAAATCTTAGGAATTGAAAAAAGAAGTTTAGCTTTTGTAGCAATTAGTGAAAAAGTTCTAAAGTCATATTTATAATTGATTGATTATCCAACATGTGAAATATTTGATCAATACTAAAATGATTTTAAAGGAGCTGCTTGTGCCAAACTGGCCCTTATGTTGTTTCTTTCTTCCAGCATCAACTTCAGCCACGACTCGTCCTTCCTGTGTGCGTCCAGCGACAAAGGCACCGTCCACATCTTCGCTCTGAAGGACACCAAACTCAACAGGCGCTCAGCGTAAGGCCGCCTCTTGCTCGCGTCGTTCTTCTGCACCCACTTGCTGTCACAGTAACCATTTTTCTTCCTGCAGTCTGGCTCGTGTCGGGAAGGTGGGCCCTGTTATTGGTCAGTATGTGGATAGCCAGTGGTCCCTGGCCAGCTTCACAGTGCCTGCTGAGTGTGCCTGCATCTGTGCTTTTGGGAAAAACACATCCAAGAATGTGAACTCAGTCATTGGTGAGGAAACTTTCCTAACTCCATTCCAAAAAAGTTAAAAAACAATCCACTGGACTTTTTTCCCCCAAGTTTTAAGATGTTTCTCTTCCATCCAGGAAGCTTTTTCAATTCCAAATGTCAGAAATAGCGTTTAGTTCCAGGTTTTATCCAGCAGCCCAACAAAGCCTTGTTTTTGTTTAGAAAACATGCAAATAGAAACGGATGAACGGGTCCACTCCTTTGGAGTGGGGGTCGTTTGGCTTCTTTGTTAGCCTGCAATACCCCATACCTGTCTATGTCTCTGAAAGGGGGGTCATTAAAGGGAATTGTTGGCCTGGATGAATAGGTGGGGTTGATTGATGATAGCGGGAAGGAATCAACTCAATTGCTGTGTTGTAGGTTTTTAAAAGCTGAAATCTGAGTCCCCCCCCTGTTTAAGGTTGGTTTCCTTTGTGACATAGATGGTTTCCTTCAAGCCCCTCCCACCACCTGTTTTCTTTGTCCAAAATGTGAACATTCTGGTCCTTACCTCATTTTATTGGATGTAAAAAAGTCAGTTATTTTTCCTAAATTCCTTTTATTTAACTTTTTTTTGACAGTATGGCAAATAAGTACACTCCGCCTGCATCTTTTCTCTACATCGAGATCTAGAGAAGCTAAAATGGGATTAATGAAAATCTTTAACTTGATGCTGGTCGGCAGAAACTTTCAATACTGCTCCTTTAAACTTTTTAATGTTAAACCTTTTATGCATTTGCTTTGGATTTCCTATTTTAATGTCTAAGGTGTGAAAGTCAGGATATTTTATGTATAAATATCAAGTTAGTAAAATAACAAATAGTGCCGGAGGCTAATTTAAAGGAGATAAAGGTGACCTATAAAGGGGCGGAGCTCAGGACCATAAAGAAGAGAAGGAAAGCTTTCTTCCTCTATGGTAACTGTAGTGACAGGTCCAACAACACCGGTCAACACATCTGCTAAAAAAAATGTCTCATCTTTTGCGGTTTATCATTGAAATTATCAAGAATTGTT